AGAAGGAGGAGGTGCCTTAGCGTTGTTCGTGTCATACATGGGTAACTTATCACTAATCAATAACACTTTTGCATATAATCAGGGTCTAGAGGAAAACATCCCCACAAAGATTGCTGGAGCTATTTATGCTAGAGTGCGCAAACTCCTTGGGGACGTGGAAATTCGAAACAGTGAATTCCTGTGCAATTATGGCGCGCTTACCAGCATTCTTGCTCTTTACGTTGAAAATTCACAACTCTCACTTCAGCCACGAGTGACATTACAAAACTTGACCTTTGTCAACAACAGTTATAACTTTAACTATAGTAAAGGTTGTGGCATCATCATCACTGAAGGCATGGGCTTCAAAATAATGAGCTCCTGTAAAATTCACGGAAATTCTGGTGGGATAGTGTACGTGTGCGAACCAGGTATGTTAAGGTGCAGTGGGAATGTTCTCGTGGAGGACACCATGATAAGTGGAAATATCGAATTTACTTTGTCAGTCATGACTAAGAGTTTTCACTTGAAAAACGTTTCTTTTGTTAACAATAGCTGCATTAGGCCATCTCAATATTCTGTTTTGCGACTAATGAGTGCGGTTAGTAATAGTTCGTTCCACTTGGATCAGAGCACTTTCCTGAACAATTTTGGAGAACCAGGAGTAGTCCATATCGATCTGTCCCTACTTGAAAAAAAGGCCGCCGACGGCCAGGTGATCATCAATAACACTGAGTTCCGAGGTAACTTTGGAAGATCTGAAGGCGTCCTTAAACTGCTCAAAGTTAATAGGATTAAAATTCAAAACTGCAAATTCATAAATAATTTTGGCGGCATAGGTAGTTCCCACGCAAACGTGCAGCGGTGCTTAGGAATGTTGATAATCAGAAATACCTCCTTTAATCAGTTTGACGATTCTCAAGTTTTTGAATCTGCGGGAGGACTTTCCAAACATGTGGCACCATACTTGGGATTTTTGACGGTGACAAATTCTGAAAACGTACTTATGCGTATACGTAACAGTTCGTTTGCTTCGGATCCTTTCAGCACAGACAGCATAGCTCTCATTGTTGTAGAAGAAGTCCGCCCAGGACTGTTGGACAGCTCTGTGCGAATTGAAACTCCGATCAACACCAAACTTAAGCTGCGTAATATTACGGAAATCTACGAACCTATCATTGGAAATAAACAAGTCACGATATCGACTATATTTACCACCGAGCGATGTCCTGAGGGAACCTACAGCATTCACAGGGGAACTCGAAGAAGACTTAGTGACAAGCATGTAAATTGTTATCCCTGCCCGGTTGGTGGAAATTGCTCTTTACCTCTCGCTGCTCAGCCCAACTTTTGGGGTTATCCTGAAAACGAAGACATCGTTTCTTTTCAGCTTTGTCCAGAAGGTTACTGCTGTTTGCCATCTGCCCATAACAAATGCTTTTATGACAACAACAGCTACCAGCATTCCGGTTGCCAAGGCAATAGGACAGGCATCCTTTGCGGAAAATGTAAACAAAATTTCGCTGAAGGTTTGTTTACAACAGAGTGTGTTCGAATGAAAGACTGCACCCATAGTTGGTATTTGGTTGTTTTTTTCGCACTCACGTCATTATTTGCCTTGTATCTCGTTAGAAAACCCCCAGTGTTTGAGGAAGTGGGAAAACAATTAACATGGTTCATTCCGAGACGCAAAGAGGGCAATAACCAAGTTATTTGCAGCCTAGACAGCACCGCCAGAAAAAGTGTTTCTCCGAATTATGGCTTTTTGAAAATTATCTTTTACTTTTATC